TGATTCAATTACTCAGCACAGTTAGCAATTCTGCATATAATTTTCATTATTCTTCTTCTTTTTTTTGTTTGCATTGTGGCTTCTATTATTGTATTTTTTTTAGTGGTCTGGTAGAAAACTTGAAAGTGTAAAACCTATCAAACAGAGTATAAGATAAAATATAAAATTATTTTTTGGAAACGACAATTTATAATGTAATAAATTGTTTTGATAATAATAATAATAAAAGAAGGGCACCAAGGGGGTGCCAACCATTTACAAAGAAATCTCACTCTGAGTGAGAAAAGACTAAAAGAAGATAAATGCTATTCACCTCATCAAGAATAGGGTGATAAATAAAATACAGTCCTAAGGCAATGATCCTTGATGGGAGAAAAGAGAGAGGTGGAATTTCAAGATCCATAAATCTCCTGCTTGGAAGCCAGGGTTTTGCTCATGCCCAAAGTTCCCTCTTAACCAACCACTGACCACCCAAGTGTGTTGAGGAGATTGAGAGCATAATTCAAAGGCTTCTAGCTTCCAAGCAACAGATAAAAGGATGGGGGATTCACTCTCATGCTTGCATGAGAAACATTTATTAACTATTGCATTGTGTCTCTTCATCAAGCTGTCAAGGGTCAATTCTACCCCAAGAGAGAAGAAGGCAATTTTAGGAGCAACCTTCATGATCTTGATAAGCTTTTGGGGGTAATGAACTTATGTTAGCCTCCAGCAGAAGAGTAAAAAGAGTTTACAGAGAATTTTCTATTTTCAGATTATGGAGGGGGGAACACTCCATTAGATTCCACCACTATTCACCATTAAACAGTCTTTTACCCTGTCCTCGTTATACCTAACAACAACAAAAATAGAGGAAAAGGAGTTCTCTGAAGGATGAATTAAACACAAAGGATCAAGCCAAAACTGAATGTGATTGTCATTCAATGCCTCAGACTGAGAAGCCTCAAGGACATATCTCCAATTCTTACCAATTTACCTCCAGGGGCTATAGTTGATGGTGCCTATACCCACCTTACATTGAATGCAATGCCAATTTTGCTATGACCTTCCATCACTGGGAGCTCCTACAAGAGAGAAATATACATTGCTGCTTTACAAACAAAGGGTCCCTAAGCTACCATTTCTCACTGGTTGGTTGATTGACTATGTTCCAGGTCACCAGATGATATGTGCTCTATTCTTCGGAGTCTCCCCATGAAAAGGTTGTATTATATATAGTATC